ATTATCATTATTATTATTATAACTATTATAATTATACTTATATCATTGTTACTGTTATTACTGATATTATCACTGTTAGCAATAATGATATTTTTAAAATTTTTGATGACATTGTTCTGCTGATAGCGAAGAAAACAGCCTGCTGGCAAGAAAAAAGGTAATTTACCAGTGGACCAATGCAGAAGATGAATGAAAAAGAAAAAATATGAAAAAATTAGTCTTTTTTTTTGCTTGTCCTGAAAAATTCAGGACATCCGACTTTTGACAGTTTCTTCCAATTTTCGAAAGATTAAAAAAAAAAGAAAAAAAGTAAAAACTTATTTCTGAGTGGTAATTTTTGTTGTTGCGAAATACCCATCCCCAACTCTCGTGCATATTTTCGTCAGTCAAAACTTTTTCTTATTTTTAGCAACTTGTCACTGCTTTACGATTCCCGTTCTTAGATGCTCTTCAATTGTTCAAAAAAGTTGTTGCTTATATAATTTTAAAAAAAATCAATGAGATTTACGATAAATTTTTAAAAAACTAATCAAAAGTGCACAGAAAAATTATTTGTTCAATATCAAAAAGTAGTAATAGAATTAAGGTGAAAGAAGGTAGAGAAAAGTGTCGCCAACATAATACTACCATTTTAAAAACATGCCAAGTTATTAAAAGACTGTTACGGATTTTATCTAAGATTCTGAGTTTATTTACTGTACACAGCGATTACGACAACAGTGAAATAAATTCTGTTTGAAATTTTTGTCGACATGAGAAACAGTTATATCTGCGGAAAATTTTTACGCGCATAAGTCGCCGAAAACAATGTAGTTGGAGTATTCAATTAGTGAGGATGTTCAATCTGGTAAATAAATGGTTGAAAAACAAGCGAACAAGGCTGAATGAAGAGACTTTCTCCAGATAGATATGCCACTAACAACAGCAGTGTGAGAACAGCAGCAAGTAAGGTAAGAATCAATAAGTTTTTCATCTAAGCAGATGAAGTATAACGGCTAAACATCACATAAACGCTGTATTAACTTCTGTATCGCAGGTATTATTGCATATTTGACTTCATATTTTCTTCTCTTTCTGCCTACCCAAAAAAGATAACAACACTAAAAATTAAAAAAGAAATTTTTGTCACATTAGTTTCAGTCTTCTTGGTTTTCTTTCACTACTTTTTCCACAGTTGAAACATGACATTAAAAGAAAAAATTCAAAAGAATAGTGATAAGCAAAAGTAAAAATTTACCGGAATGAGCAAAGATGAGCAAAATGAGTATGGCGAACATTTCGGCAGCATCGGCGATCCCGCAACTGAACAGTTCTTTATCCAACACCAATTTCAAACTGCCTTTTTCCTTTTGTTTTAACGTATTC